GAAAAAAAATAACATAAACGTTGAAATCATCACCAGGAATGGACATACCGTATAATGTATTATACATGTGTTTTTGTCTGTGTATGTGTGTGTGTATTATCGAATGTAACAACTAATTAGAATTACTATAAATTATAATTAACAGTAATTAGAGCACAGACTTTCTATCTAGTTTCTTTTTTTTCTCTCTCTCCATCCCTCTCTTGTACGGTCAAAAAAAAACATTAGCTTAACTTTAATAATAAGCAACTTGAGAAGAAAAACGTAGTGATCAAAATGGATCAAGCGATCAAGAGTAAAAAAAAGTCATTGAGTCATCATCATTATGATTATCATCTTTGTTTGTATATTTATATATAAATGTGACCAGGGTACGGGGGTGGAGGTTGTTCGATGGCAAACAATCACATTTTTTTTATACAATTCAGCCATCATCATCATCATTGTTGTTGTTGTTTGCCGTTGTCAATGACAATTTCTAACTATCGTCATATTTCTTTTTTTTCGAGATTTACAACTTGTCTTCTTCCTCCGCCTTCATTTTGTTTTGTGTTTTTCATAATAAATTAGGCTGATGAAAAAAAAATCTGTGTGTTCACATTTTTAACAAGGGAATAGTAATTCTGTGATCACCACCACCATTATCATGATTGTTGAATTTGATGATGAAATCATAAATAAATATTTATTATTATTATTATTACATTTAGAATATTATATCATTAAATCGAGTAAATCTTATTGATGATTGAATGAAATATATCATATATGATCAATATCATCAGATGAATGTATATTCCAATTTGAGAATAAAAAAAAAAAATGTTCCAATCAAATAAAATGTGTCGAAATTGCTTTCATTTTTATTCAGAAAACTTTTTTTTTTATTTTTTTATTTTCATTGCATTTTGTATTCATTGAATAAACCGGACAAACCTAATTATTTATCATGCTATTAAATGACAATGTTCATTTGATCATCATCATTATTATTCGTTATTCGTTATTCCAATGGATTCTTTTCATTTTATTGTTAGTTTTGTTAATTACCAACTTTATTCAATTTTTTTTTCTTCTCTTCTTCTTCCATATGTGGCTATAATTTTTTTCTTCTGCATAGAAATGAGATTTCTATTTTCTGGTTTCCGGATACAATTTTCATTTATTCATTTTCTTTGCATTGTTTTCATTTTATTATTACATAATTTTTTCATTTTGCTTCCCTTTTTTCAGATGCTAACGGCATGTTTTATTTTTATTTACTGTCTGGATTCGTTTATCATTCTATAGTTAGCTTGTTGTTGTTGCTGTTGTTCAGTATGATCTTTTGCTGTTGAATTTTGGATTCAAATCAAATCATTATATTTTATATTCATCAGTCTAATATTGAATATCTGTAGACATAGACAGTAATACCATTAGATTATCCTTTGCGACTGATCAATTGATTTTTTTTATACACATAGAATATGAGAATTTCAACACACGACAATGATAGAATAGCAGAATAATAAGAATATATAAGAATAAGAAATATTGATTTTTATTTCATTAGAATGACGCTAGAGAAAAAGAAAATTTCCATACACTTAGGAATATTGTACATTGATTTTTGCACTCACTCTCATTCTCACTTTTGTTTCATTAAGATCATCATATATTCACTTCATTTTGTGTGTGTGTGTGTGTGTATGTGTAGACTTGAAATTTGAAATTAAGAAACACAAAAAGACTGGTGTCATAATGATGAACAACTGATAATTGAATCATTCATCCTATGAATTTAAAAACAATCGGCACATTTTTTTCTCTCTCTCTCTCTCTCAACTGCAACTCAGTTGATTCAGTGGATCGAAATTTTTTTTTTCAACCATTGACATACATACTAACTTTATGATTCTTGGAAGAATTCGATTTGTCATATTTTTTTCAAAAAACAAGAAAAAATTTTTTCATAATTTGAAATTTCAATTTTTTTTTACATTTCATTATTCAATGAATCTAAAATGTCAGTAACACAGACAATATAATGTGGTAGAAATATGGAGCTAGCGCAAGCGTGGGTGGATCCGAATAGTGTTGAAGGAAGCTATTCGAAAAAAAAAATTTTTTTTTTCATTTTCTGCTTCACCGGAAATCCAAATAACTAGAGGAAAAAAAGAACAACTTTTCATTTGTTTATTCGTTCTTCATCTTGTGTGATTTACTCATTCTCAGTGTATGCGATTTAAGCCAATTTTTTTTCCAACAACTAATTTCATATCTCTGTCTGCGGAAGAAAAAAAAACGTTTTCCATAGAAATGAAAATTTATGAAAATTCAGCCAAGTGTATGGTAATCAAGTTTTCTGTTTATTTATCCGATGTTGTTGTTGTTGTTGTTGTTGCTGGTATTGAAATCTGGTACTTTACCATAAGGAATATGACATTCTTGCCGTTGGATTCATAATTCTTCCCTTATTGCCGTTACTGCTGCTGTTGTTGTTATTTATTTGATGGCACAGATATTCTTTGGTTGGCTGTCCAAATCCATCTATTCTAACGACTAGTAGTAGTCATCAAAAATAAAAATATTGATGATGATGATGATGATGATGATGTTGTTGACGGCAAAGTGTATAAGTTATATTTTTTTTTTTTTTTTTTGATGAATAATTTATCATTTCGTCTATAGAAATGTCGATTGTGTCGAATATTAAATTCAGCTTCAGGGGTGATGATGATCGTCGTCATAGTCGTTATGATAGTTATAATCACAACAGTAATAGTAGTAGTAGTAGTTGTTGTTGTAGTACTTTACTAGTCATCAAAATGGTAACAGAATTTCTATCATGGAACATTAGTAAACAAATTCCAGCAAACAGAAAAAAAAATTGGAATATATCAGCAACATCAACATTTTTATTCTAATGCTTCGAACATACACACACACACATTAACCAATAGTGTTGAGTATATTAAAGTAACCATTTTCTTTTCTATAGATACCGTTATTTTTATTATCATTTTTATATTTGACCATTGAGAGAGAGAGAGAAACTAGGTTAAATTTTTATTGAATATTTAGCTTTTGAAATTCATTTTCCATATTGTATATTTTTTCCCATTTTGATGATGATCATGGATCTTTTAACAAAAAACATGGATTATAATTCTTCATTAATCAACATCATTGATGATGGTTTTGTCATTGTTGAGAATTTACATTATAAAATCATCATCATTCAATATATTGAGCATCTTGTTTTTATATGAAAAACGTATATATAGATTGATGTATAAAAAGAGGAAGAACAGAATTGAATCATCATCATCATCATCGATATATTTTCAATATGACGACAAAATATATGTCTTGATCAAATATGAATATAAATAATGAATAATAGAACAGCATATTGATTATTATTATAATCATGATGATGATGATGATGATGATGATTATGTGATATGGGTCAAATATTGATACATTTTTGATGATGATGATGATATGGTAATTTTCTAATGCATTTAGATTTTTTTTTTCATTTGAGAATATTTGTCAAATTATTCGATTCTTTCTGAGAAAAAAAAACAAGAAAAAGATGAAAAAAAGATGTATATTGTTCCTATAGAACCTATCAATAGCTATAGCAGAACTGGTTTTTTCTTTATTTTTATTCTATTTTTCATAATTACACACTTTATTTATTTAAAATTCTTCTTCTTCTCAGTAGCAGTATTGTTGGTCCATTTGTTCAATTTACTTTTTCGTTTTTGTTTGTCATTCCAAATAGAATGAATATATTTTTTCCATGCACACACATATTCTTAACCAATTTTGCTGGGATTATTTTGATGGCAACAAAATTGTCTGTTTTGTTTGCACAGAATTATATATGAATTGCGGCAACGAATTATTGTTGGATAAGCATGGTTTTGTTGTCACGGACAAACAAAATATTATCGACATACATATACATTAAAAACTAGGGCTTCATTATTATCAAATCTACCATAATATTTTGCTATTTTGTCCTAGATTGATTTTGGCGTCGTCGTTGTCGAGTCGGCACAATCCAATATATTGGAAGCAAAGCAAACAACACACACACACACATGTGAAAATAAAAACACTCTGACATATAGACCATATAAATGAATAAAATGGTACAGTATTTGCCGGTGAAGCTTTAGTTTATGCTTTGAATCACATATAATCGTACACACACATAAAAACCAATGAAACGTCCAAAAAAACCTAGCCAAAAATCAAACACAGACCCGCTATAGAAGCTATCCTCTTTTACACAATCATTCAAGATTGTAATCAGATTTTGTTAGTTGAAGCATTCAGTATTTTGTTTTTATAAATAAGTATTCTGTTTTGTTGTGCTATGCATCTTATATGGTGGTCCCAAAAAAACAACAACAACAACAACTTATTTTCAGTACTTTTATTATAACATAAAATTCAACAGCCATTGTCAATGGACAGCGACGACGTCAACAGCCAAAAAAAAATTTTTTTTTCTCTCAGTCATTCTTTCACTTCTGTTTCATTTTATGTTTTGGCGCTTATTTTTCTACTTGATTCATTGTGTTTTTCGATCCTTTTTTTTCTCTTTCTTGAAAATTCCATGCATTTTTCCATTCTAATCACTTGATCATGATTTTGTGCATTTATTTTCTAAGCTTAGTGAGTTTTTTTTGTTGTTTAGTTTTATGTGTGAATAATATTCATGTGAATATTATATGAATGTGTGTGTGTATATTTTCACTAACCAAGAATATATTGCACCTATTTTATTCAACAGAAAAAAAACTTCAATATATCATTGGTCGATTTTTGTTGTTGTTGTTGTTGTTGTTGGTTGGTGGTTACAATTTTTTCATTCCTTTGAATAAATATCTGTGAATTTTTGTTCTATTTCATGAAAATTCTATTATTAAATTTTTTTTCCATATTAAAACTGTGTTTGTGTCCATGAATGCGTGTTATTTTTTTCGGTCTTTTTTTTTGTTCAAATATTTGAATTCATCATCAGTATTTCAATTTCATCAATTCTATTTCCAATTTGTGTTTGTGTAAGTGTAATTCTTGTGATTGTGCTCCATGTCATTGTTATCTGTCATGTGTGTGTGTGTGTGTGTGTAATATTCAATGGTGAATGAGAAAAAATAGAATCATTCAAAATCTACAAAAAAATATTTTTGACCTTTTCCACTTTAATATTGTGTTATGATTGTGTTTGTGGTCAAATTGTTCATTAGAAAAACTCATCACATATAATTGATCATCATCATAACGAAAAAAAAATTGTGGCAGAAATTCGAGCATCATTACCACACCATTGCACAGGTAATTTTATTTTTATTCATTTCAATGATGAATAAATCTTTCATCCATTAATTCCTGGGAATTTTTTTTTTTCTTGAAAATTTTTGACTCTCTAATTTTGAATGACAAACATCAGGTACAGCCATAAAATTATCATCATCATCATCATCATCATCAAAGAAGATGATTATAAAATGATAGCAAGAGAGAGAGAGAGAGAGAAAGGTAGTAAAATAGAAACATCATCAAACCATTAACGGAACAATGATTTTATTTTTTTCATTTTTATGGAATTTTTTTTCGCCTGATATATTGATGTCAACAATGATGATGAATGAAACTTGGAATGGAATTTTTAGTCAAAGCACTCGTGCATACATGCATGTGTGTGTGTGTGTGTCTGGTACAAATATTCCATCATTTAATCATTGCATTTTCCAATGGTATATTTTGTGAAGTGAAAATAAAAATGCTTCAAAAAAAAAATCATTTCCATTGTATTCTTTTTTTCTGTATGTTTGTTTATCTAAATATATTTGCCTATTTTTTTTTAATGTTGTCTGTTGTGAAATATCATTGATTTCCATTATTGTGAATGATTCTGAGATTTTGATTCCGGTGAATAGAAACAAAAAAAAAGAGATGAAGATATGAAACAAACATGAAAATCTCAGCCTTCAAAGGTATCTCTCACTACAGTAGAATGATTATGTTTGTTTGTGTAATATGTGTGTGTGTGTGTGAAAATATTTGCAAAAGAAATGGAATAATTTTCCTTCATTCATTTTTTTTTCTAATTGGAATTAAATTATTGCATCACATGTCAACAGAATAATATGGTGGGCGTATTTTTCACTTTTATTTATATAAAAATATTCCGTTCAAATAAAAAAAAAGCTCAATCACCAAGAATATATATATTGACGTATTATTCTGTTCATGGTTTGGTCGTCTTCTATACTTCCGTATATTTTTTGTACATTACAATTCAATTAATGTCATGAACTTTTTTTTCTCTCTCTCTCTCTCTTACATATGATGATCATATCTGAAATTCATATAAAATGAATGAATGAAAGTGTAAAAAAGTTTGTTTGTTTTCCCTCTTTTCACTATTCTATGGGTTTCAATTTCGTATGTCAATTTTTTGATCTTAGAATCTGATGATTCACTTTATACACATTGTGTGTTTGTGTGAAAAAAAACTAAGAAATGGAAACTTTTCCGTTTGTACATTAAATTCATTATATTTGTTTGTTCAATGGTTGTATATATGATTATTGTAAGTTTTTTTTTCCCTGGTTGAAATCGATCTGTTTATAGTCGGGAACATTTTCATTTTTTTTTCTTGACAATTCTCTTTCAAATCCATTATATCTTCATTTGTCATGGAAATCAACTTTAACGCTTTCATTATATGTTGTTATTAACGCCCATCTTGTCATTTTTTTTATGCGATTGATTGTTTGATAGATTGTGAAAAGTTATTATTTTCAGAATCTTTTGTTCAAAAAAAAAAAAAAAAAAAAAAGAAATGAGAATCAGATTCATCTTCATCATGATTGGTAATCATGACAATGTTTTTTTTATTTGTTTTTTATTTTTTATCATTAGATTGATTGAATACCCCATCATACAAAACAATTGGGTGTAAAGTTCGTTTTGTTCATCTCTTATTTTAATCAAATCAATTCAAATATTCTGGATGCTACTTGTCGTTGTTTGTTTGTTTTTTTTTTTTGTCTGTTGCTAACCGTTGCAATTTTTTATATCTCTCTTTGTCTGAAATTGCAGAAAATTGTAGAAAAATTTTCATGCTGTCATCATTGATTAGAGCCATGTTGGAAAATGATTCAAATAGACAAAATGTCTCTGCAAATTTTTCTTTTTTTGGGCCCCTATTTTTTTGGGTATTTTATTTCTTTCCATCTCTCTCTCTCTCTATTGCGTGTATTCGTCTAATCGTTCATTGTGGGGTTGTTCTTGTCATTCACCACCATTATATAATGCTCTTTTTCTATGACCCCTGAAGACAAGTATCAGAAAATAACAAAAAAGATTAGCGACCAATAACTTTAAACGCTGAAATGAAAATTCTGTGGCTGATGATCAACATTTTCGTAATCAATTTCCGTCCACACAATCAATTTATAGTCAATTGAAATTTTGTCATGCAATTTTTTTTTTTTTTTTTTTCATTCGTTTAGTAATAATGATTAATTTTGTCTGATCGAAATGGAAAAATTCTTGATTATTGACAAATTATTTACATCCTTTTCTATCCCCTTAGTTTTGTTGTTGTTGTTCATGATGACAATATTTAGTGTGAAGAAACAAAAAAAATTTTTTTTTGTTTTCTCCCTCATTGATTTCTTCGATCCGATCGGGATTATCATCTCTATAGTTTCATTTACTTAATGTACAAACACAAACAAATGTCATGGTGACAGTTTTTTTTATTTCGGTTGCCATTATCACATAGAAACACACACACACACATCGAAAAGGTCCACAGGGTCTAAACTTTTTTCCTCTTTCTATTTTTTTTTTACACCCACTGTGATGACAACATGGACATCTAACTATGTGTATGTAGTTTTTTTTTTGCTTTTGATCACTTTAACTCTAATACATTGGTTCACACATTTCTAGTCGTATGAAGATTAATTTACCAGAAAATTTGTTCTATCACGAATTGGCATTTTTTTTTGCTTTTGCTTTTACTTCCTAGATCATCATCATAGTCATTTTCATTGATGATGATGATGATGATGATGTTTTTTGTTGGCCATCTGAATCTATTTTATTCTATGGCCAGAATTATTTTTTTTCCATAATATTAAATCGACTGAATAGTTTTTACAATTCTAATTCACTGATGATTTTATTGTGGAGAAGAATGAAAATTTTTTTGACTATCGAATGATGTGAAAAAAATGAAATTTTTTTCTTGCCACCATTGTCGATTGTTGTTGATTGTTGTCACTACTCAAATTATATATGATTATATCTGATAATGATAATAATATGGATCATCAATAATGAAAAAAAATGAACAATTTAAATGTAAAAAAAACAAATTTCTTCCATGTCAAAATCAATGTAGCATGACCAAGAAAAAAAAGTGGACAGAAAAAAATGGGTTCACCATCGACCATCACATTCGGCCATTCACAATTTTATTTGAAATAATAAATAATAATGTACTTATGATGTTGAAAATGATGGTGATGACAGACAAACAATTTCAATTCAATCTTGTAATCATCATCATCATCATCACTATTTTATAATGGCAATAATAATAATTCACACAGATCACATCAAATCCAACAACAAATCTAGAATCTGAGATTACATCAACGGGCTTTTTGCATTTTTTGTCTACTACTTCATTCTGCACTGATGATGAGAAATAATGATCCAAGATTTTTTTTTTTTTGTTCATTTTAAGCTGTTAAGCACCAACTAGAAAATCTGTGTAAGCCTTTCATTCTCTCTGATTTTTTTTCTTGTTGTTGTTGTTGTTCAGAATTGTAAGAAAAGGGAAAAAAACTGAAAATTATTTCAAGATGGAAAAAAGTTTTCTGCTTTCATAGATAAATAAACATCATTTTTCATTATTTGTTCACCACTGTTTTAGTATTCCATATAAAGCCGCCATTTTTTAATTCTCTATTCTTTTTTTTTTGTAGTTGAAAAGAATTTTCAGCTTTGTAAATGTTTTCATTCATTCATCCATTCACATTCTCATTATTTCTTTTTTCCAAGTGTTGTGGGTGTATTGTAAACAACAACATTTTGACATATTGTTCCAGAAAATTCTTTCTTAACTTGAAAAATTTTCTGTTGTCTAGCCAAATTCTTTGAATCAATGTGCACATACAAAAAAAAGATGAATTTTCCGAAAAAAATCGGAATAACAAAGAACTTTTTTCTTCTGTAGATCATTCTTGATCAATTCCATGGTAATAAAATTTCATTTATACCACATTTAAAAAAATTTTGATTCAAATTTTATACATAAAACTGAAAAAAAAAATCATTTCAACGCCATTTGGTTTTTTTCCTATCAATGAATAAACATTCTGTGGCAATCCTTTGGAATGTATCAAGATTTTTTTTTTTTTGACTATCTATCCATCTATTACATTCGCTGGATTCAATTTTTGACGTTTATTTTTCATGTTTATTGTGGCAGTTATTTTTCAATGATTTTTTTTTGTTTGTCTTGCATTCAATGTTGTAAATGTTGTTGTTGTTATCGTTGTTGTTGTTGTTGTTGTTGTTGTTGTTGTTTTAGTTTTCAATATCAAAGGAAAAAAATCCACCCATCACATAATATGGTTTGTACATTTTTTTTTCCTCTAGTTGTTTGACTGATGCTATCATGAACATACATTTCATCTCATCTCATCTCATTTTCTGTTAGAATTCTGTTTGGTAAATGATACTTTGTTCTAAACATTCACGCCACTCAGATCAATTTACCATCATCACTATTTCACTATTCTCTTTCTATCTGTCTATCTATCTATCTATCTATCTCTCTCTCTCTTTTTCCACATTGAATAAACGACAACAACAACAACAATCAAGTTATGTTACATAACAAACATGCAACACTCCCCTTTATGAGTGTGTGTGTGTGTGTTTCTGTAGTACCAGATAATTAACTTTTGTGTAATTTGGATTTGTACAATCATTCTGCCCGTGTTTTTTTTTTTTTTTTTTTGTTTTTTATCCTGTTCTTTTGGTGTAGGCTTCCTCTCTTTATTTTTGGTCTTTACTAAAAAAAAAATCTATCCTGTATCTATATGTAGACATTTCATGCTCTCTTTCCATTTTATTTTACATTCTAGTTCATTTGTTCGAAGAATTTATTTTCATTGCTAACAAAATGAATTATTTTCTCTTTTTTTCGTAATTCTATAATGCTATTGTCTAACAAGTTTATCTATCTATCTATCTATTCAGTCTATCCATTCATTTATCCAAGTTTCTTGTTATCTTATTATTCG